CCCCAAAACCCCAAAACCCCAAAACCCCACCCTTGAAGGCAGAATTGAGAAAATAAAAATTGTAGAAATGGACGACAAGTTTGAGTGAGTGATCAAAAATTTTCTCTAAACTAGTTGAATTCTGTAATCCATATGACCTTATTTGAGCCCGCTAGTTAAGATTTCAGCTTTTTCTCTATTCAGAGCCTAAAAGATTTTTTAGAATTTGAATAAAAAGGTTCTTTATTGTCTCTAGAAATCCAAAATAATTGCATCTGAGGAGCCAAAAGCGTGATTTATTAATTTACTTGCTAGATCTTTCCTTTTTTCTCGATCTAAGTTGATCTAGATATCTTCCTTGTATCAGTATCATGGACCAATCGAATGTCACTGAGAAGTAAGCCTCGAGGTCTAACCATATAGCTCATCAGACGAGCATGCTCAGCATTCTTCGTCTAAAGTTTTATCAGATTTCCATAAGTATTATGATCGGTATTCTTGTTCATAAAACTTGCATGAGCTCCTCTATAGTCATATGAAGGCGAAATGGAACGGCTTCAGGATTAGAAAATCTCGCAAGACTGTGTTCCAGAAGTTTCCATACGAAGAAAGTAGCCAGGGAGGTATTTTCTGTATAGTATCTTTTAGAATCTATTGACACTAAAATCAAACTGGAGAAGAGGACAAGAGATAAAAAATGATTCAAGCTCAGCTACCCTCATCCTCAAGTGTCGAAGGATATCTTTATGGTCAGGAGGAGCAAGAGCGAAGGTGGCATTGGGTTTACCCCTGAGAAACGCAGGAAAGCGAAGAAGATAGATACCATACAGACTCAAGCCCCTAAGACTCCTTTAGAGATCTTGATGAAAAAAAAGAAGCAGGTGGAGTGTTTAGTTAAACCTATCTAGAAAAGAAAGATTAAAGAAATTAGCGATTTTGAAATGGACCTTGCAAGTTTTGCAAAAAGCAGGCAAAGTTTGCTTTCTAAGGGTCTAAATAAATCATTTCAAAAGAAGATATCTACAGTTTCTGCAGCTAATCAGACTCATGGATCATTTCAGGTATGGTTAACTCCAAATATTTAGAGTCAAAAATAGAAGTGGTTGGCATCATAGACATCGCAACTACACAGTAGCTCTATGCCAAGGTAAATTTTTTGGCACTATACTATCTAATGCTTCTACCAAATACCTATAAGCTGCACTCTTTCCAGATGGTTTGTGAAACTCTTTCTTCTCGGCAATATCTACCGCTAAAGTTTTTGTTTCAGATTTGGTTTAATTCTGAGTTTTGTATAAAAACAAGTCATGTTAATATCTGACGTGTAAAATACACACAATAAATAGCATGGAGATATTTAGACTAGGGTGCAGAGCCACACCATCAGTCTTGGAGAGTTTAGAACTAACTTTTCCACCTTCCTTGGCTATAATTAAGCTTGATATAAGACCTTGCCATATAAGCTCAGCAGAATCTATGCTAATGAAGGAGGGCATTTAGAACTCACCAGGTTCTTATATTACTTGGCTACCTCACAAGTTTAGTATCAACTTGCGTTTTAGAGACAACTTCTCAAATTAGGATACTCTAAGGAAGCAGATATATTTGTATAACCTCATACTTGACCTTTGTGAAACTCTGATAATTAAAATAGGGAATTATTTTGCGTGATTCCTAATTATGATATCTTTTAGAACTTCTTCCATTGTTAGCATCTATAAATTTTGGCTCAATATTTTGCCATATCAGTCGCAATCGAAGATAGTTGTATAGTGAAAAATTATTTCAGTTCTTCCTATCTCTTTTCTAACTTTTAATAGATATTAAGGATGAATTTTCAGGGCATCCATCGCCACTGTTGAAGAGTCCCTGCAAAGAAAGTGAGCCGAACAAACCTTAAAATATTGTACCTACTCACAAAGAGGTCATGAGCAATTTCTTAAGCCTGTACAAACCTCTCAAGGCTTCCTACACCAGAAGTGATTTTGAAACCCCTCCTAAAGAAGAAAATCCAGGAATTAATCAAAGTGGGACCTGTAGAAAATACCTTCAGAGTTATATAAAGAAGGCACAGAGAACAGTTTTCGAGCCTAGTCCTATTGATACTACTTACAAGGCCCATTCCAACAGTAAGATGCCTTTGACATCACTCTTAGATGCTTCCTACAATTTTGAGAGAGTTCTCCAACTCCATAAGAAAAGAATGAACTCAGGTAGGCTGCATTAATTATTATACATCTTCTTTAGACCTGAAGCCTTCGATAAAGAAAACTACTAAAAAGTCTCTGAATAGAATGCAATCTCTGGACTTGTTCTCATGCACTATTGTCGAACAGTACCTTAAGAGTTCAAAGGTCCAAAGGATGACTCCTTCATTTAGAGGGTAGGCTGCCATACAGAGAAACATAGGATCAAGGTTCTCTGAACTCTCTTGCTGCTATTTATCCTCTAAACCTTCAATCATGAGTATCTTTCTAGGGGTTTTGGGGTTTTGGGGTTTTGGGGTTTTGGGG